GAGACATATCGCCAATCCGGATCTCCAGCCACAACATAGTTTTATCAAACCACCTCCTAAGGATGCTACCTGGATCCCGATCAAATTCCATTATTCCGATTCAGTGAGCAATCTGCCCCATATTTATAGAAACCATACTTCGGGAATCGTAATGGCTTGATTTTCGTCGCTTATTGGATGGTTTCCTGCATTATTTATCTCAAATTTACTTCTTATTTTCTAGCAACGATAGCAAGGATTAAATTCGACAGTATATATCAATTTATCTCAAGCAGTTAGACAATTTTTCCAATATACATATATAAAATACAACAGATGAGACCTATGAACAGAATTTTGCGACTTAATAATAGCATGCTTTCCCTTCTTTCATACAAACCGACAGAGAGTAACCTATTATTCGTAAGTACTAAATTTTTAACAATGCAAACATGGATCGTTTTTTGAAGCACATGGAATAGAAATCTCTTATCTTATATCTATGACTGAACGAGTCTGATAAATTGTAGATTACGTTTAAATGCAGGTGAAACATAATAACGTTATTTTTGAACAAACATCTGTGTAAATTAGAGTATAAAATTCCAAAGGTAATGTAATCCGCATTTCTAGCGCAATTAATTGGTGGGAAGGAATTTGATAATCTTGTTTAGTCCCTGGTTTATAATAATTTATTATGTGGATGTGGATAAAAATTCCATTAATTTGTTTTGTGGTTTGTTTGCAAATATGTGCCTCGTGAGAATTTTTTATAACATTAATGTAAATTATGTTTTTTAGGTAATTATATTGATTATAAAGATGAGTTTCATCTTGTGTATATCATAAGCGGCAGAATTGTTCATTACTCAGAATAGAGTTTAAATTATATATCAGATAGGTTAGAAATGAGATTTTGCTTGTTAATATTTTACACTATACTAATAATTTAAGTTTTTGTTTGCAATGAAACATTTCAAACATTTCAGTTCCTCACCTTATGCCTTCTACATAATTTAAAATGTTACAATAAAATATAAATTATTCTCAAAAAAACATTTTGTTAGGTCATCTAATATGATATTACAATTTGTCTCTAAATTTATACAGGGTGTCTCACATTTAAATAGCATGACTTCAGGAATCAGTAGAAGACCTCATTTTGAGTCTAAAAGTTCCTATATATATACATATATGGGTCCTAAAACGCTTCGTTTCTGAGATACAGGGCGTTCAATTTTATTTTTGTTTTATTTATTTATTTTTTAACTAAATAACTGCTGACAAAAAAAATCATCATGTTGCGGCGAAAGACTTAGTATTTGAGGGCAAATAATTTGACACAGAAAATCATCGCATATTAGTTCCAGTGGTGGAGATAGAGGGGTCTCTATGCATATTTTTATAAAAAAAAGTATAGCCGATTTGATATTTTGCAAATGTTTTCGAAAAATATGAAAGAGCATTCAATTTTACCCAGAAAAGGCCCTCTTGTCCAAAGTCGATAGGAGGTGGCGTTTTCAAGAAAAACCGAAAATACTGTTTAGAAGTCAAATAATAATTTTTAAACATTGTGTTACAACTAAATTAAATATGTAGTTCAAAAATTCGGTTAAAATTGTTTTTAATTAATTAAATGAAAATAAATACAAAAATAAATAACGAAAACCATATTACATCAAAGCAAATGTTCGAAATGTAAACCATTTTCTTCGATACATAACTGACACCGACGCTGAATAGAACGTCTCATTTGAATTAAGTTATTGTCTCTGATTTCACTGCATGCGTTCCGAATCCGACGAATAAGTTCATCCCTTGTGTCCACAGTAGTGGTATAAACTCTCTCTTTAATAAAACCCCAGAGGAAAAAATCTAGGGGTGTCAGATCAGGGGATCGGGGAGGCCATGCAACGATACCCCCGCGGCCAATCCATTTTTCGGGAAAGTGGGTGTTCAACCAGTTCCTGACATTTCGGCCAAAATGAGCTGGACAGCCATCAAGTTGAAACCATGCTCGCATTCTTAAATTCAGAGGAATTTCCTCCCACATGTTGGCACTCTCGGTCTCTAAGAACTCTAAGAAATTCGCAGAATTCAGTCGTTGAGGTAAGATGTAAGGGCCGAAAAGACAATTGTTATAAACGCCGAGCCAAATATTAACACTAAATTCGTGCTGAAAATTTCGTGGTCTGATTGCATGCGGGTTTTCATGTGCCCACTCATGCTGATTGTGTAAATTTGTCACACCTCGACGAGTAAAACATGACTCGTCGGTCCATAATATGTGTGATAAAAAATTTCCGTCGTTTTCAATTGAGTTAAGAATCCACCGAGAAAAAGCTATTCTATGTTCCTCGTCACCCGGACGTAAACCCTGAACAGGTTGTAAGTGGTAGGGATGTCTATGATCTCGTCTTAATGTTCTAGAAATAGTGCACCTGGAAACACCAATAATCCTGGAAATTTTTCTGGTACTCGTCGTGGGATCTCTGTCAAATTCGTGCAAGATTCGCTGATTCCTCCTATTTCTGCCAATATTAACGTTAATTATGTTGCGATCCCTATGGACCAGATTCAATCCGTCATTAGCGAAACGTTGATGAACATTAATAAAAACGTGTGGATGCGGCTGTCTTCTATTAGGAAATCGTCTCCGATATTCCCTAGCAGCTTCTGCCGAGTTCCCATTGGCAAACCCGTATATGAAGTGAATATCTGCGTATTCTTGGTTCGTAAACTTAAACGGCATTTTGAATTTGTTGCAATTTTTTTTAATACTCTACACACAATTAGAAACTATAATAAAATAAGCGCAAATGTCAATATTAGAATGACATTTCAAGTCTGATTTGATTTCTAAACAGTATTTTCGGTTTTTCTTAATTTGACTTCTAAACAGTATTTTCGGTTTTTCTTGAAAACGCCACCTCCTATCGACTTTGGACAAGAGGGCCTTTTCTGGGTAAAATTGAATGCTCTTTCATATTTTTCGAAAACATTTGCAAAATATCAAATCGGCTATACTTTTTTTTATAAAAATATGCATAGAGACCCCTCTATCTCCACCACTGGAACTAATATGCGATGATTTTCTGTGTCAAATTATTTGCCCTCAAATACTAAGTCTTTCGCCGCAACATGATGATTTTTTTTGTCAGCGGTTATTTAGTTAAAAAATAAATAAATAAAACAAAAATAAAATTGAACGCCCTGTATCTCAGAAACTAAGCGTTTTAGGACCCATATATATAGGAACTTTTAGACTCAAAATGAGGTCTTCTACTGATTCCTGAAGTCCTGCTATTTAAATGTGAGACACCCTGTATAATTAGTGCACGAATTAAAGAAGTTTTTGGTTTGGATAGATTGCAAACTCCGTGTTTAATCTAACAATAAAGTAATTCAAGTCATTTAAATACATTAAAAGACAAACAGGGTCTAAAACTGAACCTTGCGGTACACCATCCGTACAGGGTACCACATTGAATATCTACTTTTATGGTTACATTTTCAAGGAAAGTGCATAACCAGTTAAGGGCTTCTTACACCGTTAGAAAACAATTTAAATAGAAATCTTTGATGGTTAACTCTATCGAATATAGCGGTTCTATTTTAAAATATTGCATGAAAAAGTGTATTTTTAGAATGAAAGAAACTTCATTGCTTCGGGACAACCTACAAGAAACAATAATGTGCAACACGGGATATGGTTCCAGGAAGAGACCACAGCAAATTGGCACCAAGGACTAGATACTCACACCTGCCAGCGACTCCACACCACGAAGGCTCTCCAGCGAACGCTCGTCCCGACAACACTTCTTTTTCACTAACTTTGTTTTCAATAAAAAATACTCTTATTTTACCGTTGCGAGAGAGTTTTAATTTGCTGCGCACCGAAAGCAACGTTCAAGTGGTGACTTTAATTAAATAATAATTTAAACAGCTAAAAGAATATTATAGAAGGTGTCTAAAAAGACTTAACCCCCCCGATAACTTTTCAGGATTGAATTCTATCAAAAAAAGTTTTAGATCAATGTTATAGGACATCAGGGAGCGGATTTGATCTTGACTTTAGTTTCAAGGTCGAACCAAAGTTTACTTGGAAATATTAAATATATCACCCCATTTTTTATAAGCTATTCATACAACGCTAGATTTTATGCCGGAAACTGGGATCATAGCCAGGATGTCTTTGTGGGTTATTTGAAGGTCAGACTCTTTTTTCTTTGAGGAACTTCACAAAAATGTCTCAAGCAATATGTAGGATTTTAAATTACACATTAAATGACGATCTTGAATTTGACTTGAACTGTTATATTAGCCGTCAGAATGGCATATCATCAAATTTTAATTAACCACTTAACAATGTGTTAATGTTCAATATTGTTGTCTAAATAACTAATAGTTTAGTTTTTTTTTAGTTTTTAGTTTGTTCAAATTTTGCATGGAACGTTTTCTTCTACAATACGACCTTGCCAAGTTATTCAGTGAAAAAATGACCTGTAAGGACATTCTGGAAAAATTATTTGATCCCATACATACATAAAATTTATCGCTGTGTCGATTGTTGACAGACAGCTTATACCATTTGATATTAAACTGACCTTTGTTCGACCATTCAACTTGTGATGAAGGTCAAATCCAGAGAGGTCACCATATAATTTGTCATTCAGAATCCAACTTTCTCTTGAAGCATTTTCTTTCACAATTCGACTTGTTCGAGTTGTTCACAGAAAAATTAGTTTAACCTCCAAATAACCTTCAAGGACATACTAAAATTTTCTGACCCAATATTTAGGCATGAAATTTGGCGGGCATTGAATTTTGTTCGTCAAAACGGAATAATATGAATGCATTAGCAAATAAAGACATGCTTTGCATGTCAAAGCTTCTGGAGAATTTAAATAAGACGAAAAAATCCTCTGCGACACATCCCGCGTCGAACAACATCCACTTACTCATCGTGAACCGCAAAGTTAGTAAACATCACATGTTAAATTCGATTTCCATTGTTTCAGGTTCGACTCGAGGGATAAACTGCTGGAACAGGGGAAGCACTGGGCGGACGAGGGCGTCCTGGGGGGCCGCGGGTACTTCCGCTACCAGGACGGCCCAGCCAAGCTAACGCTGGACAGCGTAAGAGACAGCGACGGCGGGATCTACCACTGCAGGGTGGATTTCAAACAGACGCCGACGAGGAACGTCAAAGTCAACTTGACTATAATTAGTAAGTTCTATTTTTGGTACAGGGATTTTATAGGAGCAGGAAATTTTATAGGAGCAGGAAATAATTACGTGTTGGCCGAGGGCGGGGTTAAAAGTTAAGTTGTGGCGTTGTCAATTCCGCTTGGTAAAGCAGATACGTAACGTTTATTCTCCACTTGCACTGTTATGTTTCGTCTTTAGAAACAAAATTTAACATTGTAGGTTTAATGGATCAAATGCAGCAAAGGCTTATACTACATATTTTCGTAAAAAAAAAACATTCGGCAACTATGATTAATATATTGGTAATATGAATTGACAAATAACAAGCGCATAAGGACTTATTTTTTGACAGTGACTTCACTTTTTCAGAGCATATTAACAATACAGGGTGTTTCATGATTAAGTCGACAAACTTTAAGGAGATATTCCTCATAAAAAAAAATAATGAAAATCAAGTATAAATTTTTTCCAGAAACGCTTCATTTTCGAAATATAGGGCGTTAAAGATTTTTTTAAAAATTCGAATTTTTTATATAACTTCTAAATGAGGAAGGCTATTTAAGCCGAGGGGCGATCCGCTGATGTAATCTTCGTACGTTTGCCCTGGAATCTTTATGTAATCTACGTAATCTTATCTGTAATCTATGTAATCTTATCTGTAATTCTCGCTGTAATCTATATAATCAGCTAATGAATTTCGCCTATGTAGTCGTTATACAACGCCCCCCCCCCCTTCCCCATTTTCCAAAGAATGCCACAGAAACCTCGACAGAAACCTATATGGTGCGATTGGTGTGTTCCGAAGGGCAATCCGCCAAGGAAAAAACAGACGAATATTACAAAATTTCTGAAATCTCTTGTAATGTATCTGCAGATTTCAATATCAATTCAAAAAATATTACAAATTTCATATAAATAATCAAGATTACAACACATTTCAGGAGATTTCAGAGTTATTTTAGTAGATTTCAATGATTACTTAAGATTTCAATAGGATTATTAGAAATTAAAAGAATATTTCAAAATTTCTTAATAAGGTTTCAAGGAATACGGGAAGATTACAATAAGTTTTGAATGTCCATTTGAACAAAAATAATTGAATTAACTTCAACTGTCATTCATTTCATTCATTAACAGTAGTACTTTGATTAAGAATTTCCAGTATCAGGCATTTTTT